ATCCGACATAGAAGAAGGTTTTACATTTAGTGTCGGGTTATCGAGTCACGACTGTACTTATGTATATGGCTGTATAATCTGACATCTTAGTCAAGAAATATAAATGTGCTTTAATAGTTTTTCTTTTTTTTTTAAAGCAGTAAATTAGAAAATTAATGGATAGCAATAATAATAATGTAATAATATTGTATATATACATATACATATAATATTATTAGATTTTAGAATTAAAATATCATTTGAGTTAAATGTCTTCTACATGCTGGTGTATTAACCGTTACAGACACATAAGAGATGCTTCAGGTAGTTACCAGTGCTGTTAACTTTGGGCCGCTGTGGCGTAGACCTGACACTGGGTGGAGGTCTAATACATTTGTTGAACTTTTCCAAAGAAACTCACACTTCTGTGAGACGGAGGGACTTCTTGTTCCTGCTGTGGCTGCCGTGTGTGTGTGTGTCGTGGGTTCACGTGTGCAGTGATGTTCGTTCAGGTTTGGTTTGCACTCGTGGCTGAGCTTTGAGGGTGGTGCTTGTTCTGTACGTCCGGCCGGCCGGGGGAGCTGGGTGATACTGAGGAAACATCACTGTGCTGCTCATTGACAGTGTTAGGGTTAGAAATTGTTTCACCAGCGTCACCAGAATGAGCAGCAGTGAGTCCAGAACACGACTTCAGCTGAACAGTATTGAGACAAAATGCCAATCAGTGAAAATGAAAACTGAATATTTAAAAGAAATGTTAGCACCGTGTACATAATAAGATGATCATTTGAACGATAGAAGAGCTTGTTCTGCTAATGTAGCTGCATGTCAATGGACAAACAGTCCAATAGGCTCAGTTTGTCAGACCTGGATTAGGCCTGGTCCTAAAAGTAGTTTCCAAAAGAGATCTTCACTGATTTGTTTTTTTTAGTTTAGGACGAGGCTGAACCCGGTCCGGGGAGCCGGCTCATGGTGTCGGTATGAGACCTGAAACAATCGGCTGATTAGTAGATGGCTTGAGTCCAGCAGTGGATCAGACCAGCTGGTTCCACCTCCAACATGTGGTACTGGCAGGTTTATAGTCCACCATGATGGTCCAGGGAACTTTTGGAGCAGTACATCTGAAAGTTCACTTGGAGCTCCAGGAACCTTTTCTTCTTTTTTTACATTTTATAAATCGATCAATCATTTTCAGCCTCGTCCGTATTCTATCACAGTATCTCCCTGCTTTACCTGCTGTGTCTGAGTGTGGACAGCTGGGTTACTGCTGTCACGCTGTGGCAGTGTGATGGTGTGGTTGTACGAA